TTGAGCATCCAACTTGCTATCTCAGTGAAACCACATGAATTCATTTAGAGCAACATTTTCCACCCAAGCAGGACTTAATCTAAAATTAATTTCAAATGTGATCTTACATTTGAAAATTCCCCATTGGCTTCTATATGTTGCATAGTAGAAAACTCTTTAAAATCCACAAAACCACTGGAGATAAACACCAACACTTGCCATAGAATTTAAGTATTTGTGACTGGCCAAAGGGACCTGTCTGGACGCTGCCCCACACTCCCTCTCTAGTGTGGTTCAGGTCCAATGACTAGAAAGTATCCTGAGAAAAGGGAAGGAACATAGAGTTTTTCAGCTCCCAAAAGAGTACTTTTGGCTACAGGAAGATCCAGGCTCCTTGCCCTTTCAAATATGCTTAAGTGGGGAGAAAAGAAGGAAAATAGTTTTAGTGTGAATGCCTCGACTCACCTGGACTAAGTTCTGCTGGCATTTTCATTTACTAAAAATCTTTATAGTTCAGTATCTTAACAGCTTGTGACCAGAGTTGTGGATGAGACTGACAGCTAGTCAATGAACTGATGAATATCTGTCTCATGAGCATTTCATCTTAGCTACCTGTGCAGAGGGTATTTTACCTTTATACACACACATTCCGAAGTCCCAATTATCTCCTGCTTAATTACTTTGAGCTCAGAACACTTTAAAAAGGAACAAGCTATCATTATAAACATTTAATAATACAAAAAAAGAGGCACAGTGGTATTATTTGCTGTAAGTTATTGAACTCATTCATACCCAAGGTCAGTAGCAGGTAAAAGAAAGCTCTTAACAGTTTTCAAGGCAGAACTACATTCAGGAGACTATACTGTCTCTCAAAAAATACAATGAATTCTTTCCCACCAACAGCATCTAAAATTTTACCTTTCATCTTACAATGTGAAATTTCACTATATCGACACTTGCTATACACACCAGTGTTCTACAGAGTCTACCTTAAATTTATTTTCCCCAAAGGATTACTCCAAGATAACAAATACTGTTTCTTCAAACATCTACATCAGATGTTTGGAAGTGGGCAAACACACCTGTCTTCTCAGATTTCATTATTATTATGCCCTAATTAGGGCTTATTGCAAAATCTTCATAATGCTGGGACCTTATTCTAGTCCAAGTTAAAGCCTTTTCATTTGTCCTTTTTGCTTTCACCTAAAAACCTGGGAAGTCATTGGTTTTGCAAAGTACTTCCAATAACTTGAGGCTCAATGACAATGCTCAGAAGCACTTTTTGCACTGGGCAATTTAATGTACAAAAGGAACAAATGAAGTCACCTCCACTAGTAGAATTGAGGTGTTTTCACTAGCTGCATGTCCAATTATGAGTTTTGGGCCTGAATTATACAAGCTAAATGAAATTAATTTACTTCTTTGTCCAGCTCAGGTGGCTAGCAGGCCTCCAACAAAACTACTAGGACAACTAGTGAAYAGCAATGAAATTAGCACTGCAACAGATTGCATTCCTGGCACTGGGGTTTGCCATTTCTCTTTTTTGCAATTTAAATCTTCCCTCTCTTCCACTACRCTCAGGAGAAATGGGAAGCAACTTCCAAACAAGTTAAAAAAAATTGAAAGAAATGCAGCTTGCAAGTTTATATTGTAATAATAGACTCGTATCAATTACAAGACAAATTGCAGCAGACAGTGAAAGAGACAGCGCAATCTGTTACCGAATCCTTCTAACGGCTGCATGAAGAGCCTGGCCATTTCACTCATAAATCTTTCTTTTAAGTTTTATTGCTCCTTGTGTGGGTAAAATAATAAAACCAGAGTCAAGCATACAATGGATGCAGTTAAATGCATTTCTAGTCAGAATTTCCTGTATTTCGTTACAGGAATCAAAGCCCATTCAGCATCTAACCAGAAGTAACATTATGCTACAAGTTGCTAAAACACAACATTATATCTTCACAAAGTCATTTGATTTGATCATGCCAATTGTGAATTATAATATCCATTACAGATCACTGAGATACCCTGGGCTATCTTAAGTCATTATCAATCTTCTTTCATGGGATAGACTGATGCAATGCGTATGTAACACTTCAGGAGTAGCTCGAGCTACTGATCAMTAGCATATGTAAAAGCAACAACCAAGAAAACCCAGATTAGGAGTTTGTTCCCATTTACTCGTTAGRGTGAGCARTTTTAACTCATTCRTCTAAGTTTGTCTTTCTTCTACAGRTCAGGGTAGGAAGCAGGAGGATCCCTGGAGCCACTGCACATACAAACCTTTATGATCACACATCAACACAATGATGAGCAATGACATTGAGAGGAGAGGATACAAGCATGTATAAAATAGAAGCATGTGCAATAGTTTTGGTGAAGAGAGTGAGCATATGGTTACCAAACACCAGTGGTTCCTCCTCTGTCAGGAGAGAGACAGGAGGCCACAGCCCCAGCAAGATGACCAGTCACCCCATTTCAGTAGAGCCCATGGGCAACTTCCTCCAAGAAAATGAGCCCTGCAGCCTCATATCCAGGTTAGAGAATCTTTCCTCCGACATGAATTCCAAGAGGGTGACCCAGTATCCCAATCAAAAAGGAACTGGGATACAATCCTACATCCTTGTAGCAAAGACCAACCTTCCGACAGCACCGTCTATGGTTACACATTCCCTTTCAGCAACACTCTTCTAGTACTTTAGTACATACATTTTAAAGCTGTAAGCAGAGATCTGGGTGATACACATCTGTTTCACTGAATCCTCAAACACAGTGATGATAGAGATTGTTATCTGAGAAATACAGAATAGAAAACAGTATTTTTGAGGAAGGTTGCAAATGCAAGTGAGGAAGATGGTGTAACTAGGTTTCAGTGCTATTGAAAAATAAAARCGCCACAAAATTGCCATTAACACATCCACATTAAATTTAAACTACTGAGAGGGACAATTTTCCAGCATCAGTCTGAAAAAAATACAGCTTTGGCTTTTTTTTCCTTTGGAAAAAATATAATGCAAACCTCAAACACCCAATACTGGGGGCTCCTGCAGTGGTTAAGGCGCCTTGCACTTTATATTGCCTTGCTTCTCTTAGGCAGCCCAATCCTTAATAGTCTTTCTGAAAGAAGGTTTTTCCTTCAGAACTTCATCTATAAACTCCCTGCTGCCAGGCTGCGATAGCCACTACTGCACAGCCCAGAAGTGATGACGACTGGGATTCCATTCAAGCCCTATGGAATCAATAGAAAGCAGACAAACCACCAAGATAAAGTTTCAGCCAGCTGCAAAGAACAGAAGCCACGGGGTACCTCATGTTGCTTTTACAGCGGTTCCAGTTACCTCCCCGTGAAATACAGGCAGCATCACATCGCACTCCTTAAATCTGACCTCTATTCTCCATGTGCTGCATCCACAGTCTGAGGGGAATGCTGTAGCACTGCAGATATTTGCAGACAAATGGTGCTTTTGGGGCTGGAGTTCTGAATTCTGATYGAGATTTCTAACATGCAGTAGACAATCAGAAGACTAATGAGAACAGTTGATTGTTAAAATTCATGCTTCTTAAATGGGGTTCTTAGCCTCGGCAAGCCTGCTTACCTTGCAGCAGCAGCATTACTGCAGAGCCAGTAACAAAGCAAACTTCATTGGTATAACTAAGTATAAACCAATGCAAAGTTATGCATTTCTACATTGCAAGTAAAAGGAACTGCAGCACCACTAAGTCCGCTCACCTCAACTAGCATCATTTGAAGACAGACTTCATCACTGCAGTCTGAAGACAGCAGAAGTTCTATTGCAAAATGCATAGCATTTTAATACTTGCCTTTTACTTTACAAATGAAAGTTATCATCTATGACCGAGCTTTGATGAAAACGGATCTGTTGTCACAWTTGATTTTTGCATTTCCCACTCACTGTTTCACTTGCCTGCTGCAACTCCAACTGTTTCACTACCTTCAGAGTAGCACTGGGCAGAATGCTGCTCATATGGGCAGGACACTGCACTATGGAGCAAGCACACCCAGGACTCAGCATCACACAAGCCTTGGTGGAGTCTAGAGATCAGCTTATAACACACGTTACAGAACCAGAACAGTACGAACTTTGAATCAAGCACACAGTATTTCAGCTCTTATTTGTACCATTGCAACAAAAATCATTATAATCCTTCTTATTATATTCTTCTCACTTACACTTCATGCTTYCACAGAATAAAATCCAGGTAAGGATGGAAGCATGCAAGGATTATAACCTGCATTTCTTTGAGCAAAACCCAGTATGCTTCTTTTATAGCTAAAGTTATTGTTCAATTAACAAAAAGCAGAACTTGGTCCCAGTAACAGCCCGCTCAAAGGTCTGGTTTTCTTTTTCCTTGAAGGAAACTATACAGATACAATTCCATGATTTGAGGCTTACACAGTATGTGATATTATTAGTTCACAGAAGTTACAAGGAACCCCRTTGTGGGGTTACCAGTTTGCAAAGCAGCAAGCGGATTCCCACTGACACTGCATGACATTGGGTCACACAGAACATGATCTGCAATCCAGTCTTCCTACTTTCAGAGGCTCTAGAAAAGCATTAGAGTACATTTGGTTCACTTGATATATCCATTCCTTACCTACTCCCCGTTTCTTTTGACATCTGCAAGTTACCTTTGCAAGGTTAAAGGCAATGCTGAATGCCAGGCTACTCGCAGCACTGTGCAAGCTCAGAAGCAGGCAGTACAAAGCCATTCCTTCTGACACGAGGGAGATTGAACAGCACTGCTCTCCGCAGAAACTCGACCTCTAGCAATCAGCCTGTTACATTGCTTTGTAAAAATTAATAAAAAGTAGCAAATGGAGAAAAACACAAGGACTGCCACACAGCCAGTTGAAGTGCAGCAGATGTTACTTCAATCTCAAGTTAATATTTAGTTATTGGTATTTTAATAAGTTGTTAAACATGCATTTCACCTGAACACAAGTGTGAAAAGTGTCATTCCCAGCAGATGTATTTGAAAATTTTTGTAGGACTCACCATACTGGCAGCGGGGACCCTGGAATCCTGCCGGACACCGACACATCTGCGATCCTGCTTCCGAGCACTTCCCTCCATTGAAGCAAGTGCCAACAGTGCACAGGGCTAGTACAAGCAGAAGGAAACAGCTTTTGGGCTTTGCCTTTCCAGAACCACTTCTCATAYCACAGTTCTGCTGTATCAAGAACTTCCAAGGCAACCAAGAAAACAAACAAGCTTTTGATTTTATTAAACCAACTGGATTGCAACAGATTTGTTAGCGKAGAAAAATATGGTGCTAGTACAGTAAATTTTGGCCTGAAATTAAACYTCAGTAAGTTAAACACATTTTAACTTCAAGATGCTGCAGAGGCAGAATAGCTGGACTGGCCTAAAGATACTACCTGGGTCCAGAAGGGCAAAAGATATTAATTGCTGGACAGTAATGCAGAGTGGTTCAGAAACCACTGGTTCATTAAAAGAGATTATATATGCCCATGGGAGTTGCATTACTTATCTTATCCTACAAGGCAGGATGTTTACTTACAGGAAGGTAAATTCCACATACCTGAGCAAAATTCACTGACTGAATATACCAAATTCAAAAGATTAACCCCTTTGGTGCTTTAAATAGTTGAAAGCAAGCCTGTAGTGCTCTTGCAAGGACAAAGTTTGTTATCACTGGTGTCCAAATATTCTAGATTTGGGTAAGCCAGGTATTAAAACACACATTTTAAACATATCAGGCTTCTTACAACAGAAGAGGTGCACACTAGATACATGGCTTCATGCTGAAACAAACAACTATACCTCACAGGCTTGCTTCTTTTGCTCCTTATTAATATAAAAATCATAAAAGCAAKCTCAGAATACAGTCCTTAAGCTGGYAGAAAGATTAACACACACAGGAACAGATGCTAACTTTCACACAGAAGACAATTACTCACAAAACAGTAGCAAAACCAGAAAACAGATTGTTATCACACACTTGCCTGTGCTGTTAGCAGTGGCYGAAGTGCTTCCTTATCATTTAAATTAAATTTCATTTTAGAAGAACATCCAATCATGATTAAAAACTACTAATAGTAACAGGTTTTCCTCAGATAAGTAACCTYAGGGTACACACAATTACTTCAACTGTAACATCAACAGTGAAAAAGCCAAAACCAGTCAGACTCTGCAGTGAGTGCCAAGTCCAAGGAAAGCACATTACAGCCTCCTTATTCKCTCTAATTTGGATAACAGCACTAAATTAAGTTAGTCCGCCAAGCTAAGGCTGGCCTGAGATTGCTTCAAAAACACAATCAAAACCATATTATCTRCTGTTTAAACTAGAATTAGAGATGCTCTGTACTTTTGCATGTAACAGCTTCTGTATTTTTAGAAAACCTTCTCTCACCCTAAATGGAGTATTATTCCTTATAACTGGGAAAATCTATTTATGAACAATAAGATGCAAAATCCAACTTTCTAAGAGCAAACTTTATCTAGATAGTAAAGCCTAAGAATATCATAGGTTCTGGTCTTGTCCTATCAGTTTTGCCACCAACTTACAGTGTAAGCAGCCAGGTTCAGCACCTTCTCGGGCCCATCCAGGGCAGCATTTGTAGACAGTCTGATGCTCCATTCTGTATATCTGCTTGTAAACTGTGTAGTACCCAGACCTGTGAAAGAACAGAGCAGTTACAGCTCCCCTCCAGCTTATCCCCATCTCACCAGTAAAAAACAGCCCTTGTGTTTACCACATTTTTTCAAGCCCTGCCAGTAGTTCCTATTTATAAACAAAGCAAATAGGAAATGCCTCGTGATGACTTTCAATAGCTCTAAATCAGGCATGTCCCCATACATTCCAGGGTCTATTCAGACTAGTCAAGGATAATGGCAACCCATTTGCATGGTATGTTTTTCGAAAAGTGTTGAGAGTCTGATCTTCCCACACTTCTAAACATAAGACATAAAATGGAAGCTTTCAGTTTTCAAAGCAGGTGAGCTGGGCAGCTGCACATCACCTGAAATAACAGGATCACCTTCTGACAGTTGAGAAATGGTTGACTTTGGTCATTAGGTCACAAGTTCATAATATGCTCARAGAGCCATATTTGCTTCTTCTGCTCACTTAAACCAAATACAACCTCAAAAAAGTCAGTAAGACATGAACTATCCTTAAATAATGATTACGTGTATTTTGAAGTTCAAAACTTCATAAAAGCCTTATATTAAGTTTAATTAACAGAACTCATTTGTTACTACAGCAAATAGCTGTAGGTATTGCTAGTTACCTCCTCTCATAGCCCACACACCATCTCCGCCCCGTGCAGCCTTGTTTCCACATCTTGACAGTGCGGGTGAAGGCCTGAACACAGGGCTGCTGGTGCCCCACCAGCACCAGCTCCAACTCTGGGCAGACATTTGGCCTTTGGGAAGAGAAAAAGAGAGGAAAAACTGGTTATTTCTAACAGCGAGTTTTAAAAGTCTTAAAAAGGCATAAAGCTAAATTATAAAGTAGTTCAAAATGGATTTTATATTGCTGGTTAAAAATACTGCAACTCTGCAATTTGCGATCAGTTCAGAGTGGAAAAAACAGCTCTTGCAAGAATATAGCAGTCAGACACCTGTATAACATGATCTGATGATGTCGGAATGGCAAGTGTCCCACAAACTTTAATTGAGCCAAGATTTCATTAGTGTATTGGCTGTCTAAGCATGAAGGGATTTCCAATAGCAATTTTTAACATGAGCAATATAAGAATTATTGGCCTCTGAGCAGCAAGGCTAGCAAAATGTGATTGCACTTTGTTCCCAGAAAATGAACTGCTTCATTCCGAGCAGGATTTGACGGAAGACTCTGCAGACCCTTGGCTGTCTGCAGATAACAGCAGCCCAGTAATCCCTGCAGACGCAGCAGGGACCAAGGACGGTGCCTCGCAGGGCTGAGGAGCATTAGGTGAGAGCCTGGAGGGCCGGGGAGGATGCAGAGAACACTGCAAACCAGACAGGGAAATTCAGAGTCTACCCGTGTCAGTGCAAGCTTTGCATTGATTCAAGTGAAGATAAGACCTTCACTGGAGCTTCTGCTGGGGAACCAGAGCCTGTAGGAAGCCCCCGCTGCTACCAGCTCCCCTGGGCACACGGCATTTATAATAGGGGAAGCATGCATGTTCTCTGCTGATTATTCCTAAAATAACAAGGCTAAATAAGAAGCATTGCTTTGCAGGATGATATGCTCATCCTGCTGCTGAGCCCTGCTTAGAAAAACAGTAACTTTTAGCAGGTGTGATTGGGCAGCACAAAATTAACCATGTCCCATATTGATGGGTTTGCCAGGTCCTCAGCCAGGTTCTCACTGTGCTGCCCTGGTACAAGGTCCCAAGAGCTGCATAACAGAAAAGAAGCCTGCAAAAGATGCATCGAACATCTGACTAAAGCCAGAGGGCTGCCTCTCCAAACTGAGAGGAATTTGGTGATGTTCAGAGTGCTTGATAATTACACTGACAACCTGTAAAGTCATTAATTCTCCAAAACACCTGTTCTAGCTGTTATAACCATGATTTGCACATTTAAGCCTCACCAACTCAAACACGGTGGGAAGCCTGGRTGGTTTTATACCTTTTCTGGTAAGTGGCAAGCAACACTTAGCAGTGGTGTCACATCAGCTCACGCTTCCAGTTGAGACACACCATGCAGGCTGGGTTGTCAGCGCAATATGTACATGCACCCACACACACTTCCTTGTAGAAAACAACTTCTTTTGCATTAATCAGATAGATAACAGTCATAGCCCAACAGCTGCCAGGCTGTTAAAGTTATCATTAGCTACACTGAATATTAATTCCTCATTCATGATTTACAGTGCTTTATCTCAGGGGCTCAAAGCACTTGGCAGCTCCCTGTTATGTCTGAACGCTGCACAAAGTAGCCATGCTAGTAAAAGGACAATATACCTGCCTGTCACCTGCAGATCTGGAGGTAGCTTGTAAGCATCACTGARATTAAGCCCATGCAGAACAGGAAAACACTGTAAAAATGATTGTTTTTACTGATGAGTTAGAGATACTTGGATGAAAACCTGCATGCCCAAATCAGAGTCACACAAGCATGCGTTTGCAGGTAAAACAGAGCCCAAGGACAGAAGTATTTCCCACTGTTCACCTCAGACTACTTCACACCAGAGCACCTTATATTGATGGAAGCTTTTGTAGAATTAAAACCATCTCTGCCCAAGTTTCAAAAAGGCTGCCACCCTTCGCTGCCTACACCACAACACACATCTGGGTGAGACTGTTCAAAAAGCAGTGTCCAAAAATGTAGAACGCTCTGTATCTTACACATCCATAAGAACATAAACATGCTTCAGTCAGTGCACTAAGGGTCCTCAGACAACACCACTGTCTCCAACAACTTGACCAAAATAACCTCAATCAACAGGACAGAAACACCCAAGTGCCACTGGCACATAGCTTCTCCCTCATCCCTTCCCCTGCAAAGCCAACCATCTCCCAGCCTCTCAAGCCTCTTGCTCCACACTCTCCCCTTCGTTGTGCACCCACGATATCCATTTGCCACACTGCTCKATTTTGTATTCCTGGGGTTCACCCAGCTGCCACTGCCAACATGATGCAAGGAGGCAGAGGGCAGGAGCAACATCCATGTCCCATTGCTCCTGCAGGAACATACAACAACCCTACCCATGGGCTCCAGGACCATCTCCATTACTTACCAGCTCTTCCCTCTTCAATTACCTCCCATTTAAGACATTCATGTCCATAGCAATTGTTCCCAGACCATTCTCAGCTGAAAGCTTTGAGCTTCAGAAACAAGTCTTTGTACACCCCAAACCTTGTCTGTTCCCTCTCTGCATGAGCAGGTCTAATAAAACCCTCGCCTAACTTAGGCAACCCTGCCTCATTTAATGGAGGCAAATAAAATGGACCCTCCCCCAGCGACTAGAACACCGTGTACTGATAATTCATGCAGATCTCCTTTTATGAGAAGTGCCTAAAACTTTCCAGATAGAGCTACATCCAGCCACACTGCTCCTCCATAAATAAAACAGCTCACAATTGTTGTAATGACATCCCCAGCCCATCCATAATTCTTACTCGTGTGATTTTTTGCCATGTTTCCAGGAATAGCTGTATTGACTCCTGCAATACGGTTAATAGGAACAAATAGCACTCGGACAGAATAAAGCAAGGCAGCAGCAAAAAGTCATGTGCTTATTAAGATTTATTGCGAGTAAGCCATTCCTCCTGGATGCCCTTGGGATAATTTAAAGGCAGATATCAAAACCTCTGCTACATTATAATTAAAATGCTGCAATTGCATAACACAATCCTCTGCTGGCAAAACCAGCAAATAAAACACTCCCTCCCCAACATTTAGCCATGTTCCCAACCCCACCACCACTCAGCACACCAATTTTTAGCCATGTGAGCCACTCATACATTACTTAAGACCAGGCTCTTGAACAGTATCATTACTGAACACAGCTTTGTGTTAGGGCTCCCCCCTGACTAGAGGATATTCCATCCCTTCAAACCAAACCAGCACTTTAAGTGGGTATGATGGCACATTTGGAGCTCCCSTGTGCTTTGCTTTCAGAAAACATTTCTTAATGGGAGCTTAAGTGTTAAAACAAAAACATCTATTATATTCTACCCTTTAACTGATGCACCAATCCCCTAAAACCTTTTTATACCACTGCTCTGTTAGCCAAGACTAACACGAAGGCTGTTATTAGCTTGTCAGTCTGACTTGAGCAAACTAGAGAGCTCTTATTTAATATTTGCATTAGGAGATGCCCTTTAAACAAAGGCACCCAGCACACTCCCAGCTCAGGACTTAAGATCCTAATGAACAGATAATTAGAGCAACATGAAGCCAGAGCAGCCTCAGCTGCGATGCCTGAGGACGACTGCAAAAAAGAAAGTTCACATGAGAATTAATTTCACAGTATTCAGATTTTCTCCAAAAATTCTATATCCCCAAGACATATGGTTACCCAAGAATCTCAATTTTCATTCCAAAACAGCCTTCCCAGCCCTGTGGTTTTAGAGGAAAGCTTGCATAGTAGCTTCAGGCTCAAAAGCCTGAATGAGAAATTAGATTCTTTATCTTTTAATCTTGCATTTCGGGTGGGGGGGACCTGACTTCATTCCTGAATGAAGGGATCTGATGACACAGACTGAAGTCTTAAAGAAACCAGGTTATTTTGTGAGAATTTGTAAATGCTGAACTCCACTACGCAAGTCATTTCATCAGGAGGATGCACACACAGGGCTCAAAGCTTCCCCCACACTGAAGAGAATAACTGCATCAGAAACAGTCTAGTTAGTTCCTATTAAAATAAATCCATTCCAAATAGGTTTATCAAAAGACATATCAGCTCTCTGCAATAGGGGTATTTATTATCCCCTGTCTAGCAAAATCCCAAGGGTTGAGTCTTTGAGTGACAATTGAGGCAAATCTCTCATACTCTTTATCAATCCACATTTTCTCAACTCAAGCTAAAGGTAGCGAGTTTTAATAGCAGTGAGACAGCAAATACATCAAAAGGTCCCCAAAGGTTTTGTTCAACAGCACAAATTTGAAATCAAAGTATTAATGAATATGAACCAAAGAATGATCTGGTTGTCTAATTTTAGGCCTTTCCACAGAGACTCCGTGAGTGACACCCCCTTCTACACTAATCCAGAAGCCTGTTAATATCTTCCCAAAAACGAGACATTGAAGCAGCACCGCCTCAGCTGAAGAATCTGCAGCCTGAGCACTATTGATCCTTCCCGTGCAAGAGTCAATAGATGAAACCTGCCGTAAGAAATGAGTTACAGGGATCCTATACCTTCAAAATACTAATTGGTTAAGGGCTCTCCCTCCTTCCTGCTACCACTACAATGTGGGAAAGCACARTGTGGAAGCTTTTCCACACCTACTTCACAAAAATATCAAACCAGAACCGCAGCCCCCAATATAACCTGTTTCCCGGGGTACATCTCCACTGTGATGACACCAGTCACTCTCGTCACACATTGTTATAGCCATAAATTATAACTAGGCTGGAATCTTTTGGCCAGAAATATCTCCAAATCCCCTGCCTCCATCCAACCCAAATACTCCCAGCACAGTTGCTGCAAGAAGGGAAAAGCAGCTTTGGGACTCAGCTAAAACACACTGCCCTGCAGACAGAAAAAGGTCAGCTATAGGGCATTGTATGCAAACAGTCTGTTAATTAAAAACCTGCCATACATATTATCTCAATGAGGAAGGGGAAGGAAAGCTTCATCTGGGCAAAAATCTAACTATGAAATAGGTCATGGAAATAAGGTTAAGAGGGAAAAAAAGCCTATTATTGAATATCAACAATTCCAATAAGCTGGAATGTCCTAAACTGCTTCCCCCCCCACACACACACACA